TCGGCGGATATATTTTAGCGACAGCCTGAAAGGTTACAGATAGGGTGTAGATTTCTTTGAATAGGGGAATATTGAGCAGATACATATTGAGTTGTAAGCATATTTAATGCTGCTGCCATTTTATGTTTAAACAATACTAATATAGGTAAAATACATAGTTACAACATATTTTCAGTTGAAAAGGATATGTCATCAGTGCGGTGTAGGTCTTTGGTTTAATCCAGGAGGTAGACGAAACGTAAACCAAACAAGTGGGTATGGTCATTTGAAAAAGTCAAGTCACAAGTAGCTGGAAACTCTGACGATCGCCACCTACCAGTGGTTTATCAAAAGTGATTTTACATCATCATCCCGATAGAGATAGAGTGTCCCTTACATACCGCTCGACGTTCTACGCTAAAGGCAGAGATATCGCACCGCACCAACATGGTCGACGTGTCAAGTGGTCGGAATACCAGGTTTTCACCGAGAAAACCAGCAATGGATTTTCGATGCATATATGCATAATGGAAACGGCTGAAAATGACGTTTGCTTTCCGTCTTTGGTCTAGATCTATACCGCACTGATGAATTGCTAATGAGCATGAAACAGCGTTGTCTGCGGTTGGTCATGATTGCAGGATCTCATGTCCAATTCCATTAAACCGTTCTGTATTTCAAAGGTATTTCCTGAGATAAAAAGTAGCCTATTTGCTATTCCAGACTATAATATAACCTCTGTACATAATTTTATGCAGATGCGTTCAGTAATTTTGGCGCGATTAAGTAATAAACATCCACACTTTCTCATTTACAATATTAGTAGGAATTCTGACATCAATTGCCAAAGTAGAAAACCTTGTTCTCACATGTAAATCTGTGGAATATGCGAAGTGGGAGGTCTGTTAGCAAACTACAAAAATGTTTAGTTTTGAGTGTAGCTCAATTAAAAACGTTATTATCAAAGTTAGATCAGCTAATATTTTTGAACTCTGAGGTGAGCCAGACATTTATCAGATTTGACAGCCTCATCTCTATTTGGATTGTGTCACTTTACTTGCAGAACGAACACTAGTAATGCTAGTTGGATTTTACCTTTATTTTCCCCAGGCTGCCAGTTGTATTTTAATAAACACCCGGCATATAAAACATATTGCAAAATCTTTTGAGCATACAATCTGGTCGTAGGGACTGATTGACCATAAACGTCCAGAACTTTTATTCGAGCTAGGAATAAAACATAATAACATCATAACTATTGAAACATTTTTCTTTTCTTTTGCTATTCTAACGGAGCTGTTACAAGATTCAGGGGTAGAAAATTGCTAGTTATGCAGCGAGTTTGCACGCAAGCAGCCCATAGGCGGGACTGGCATGATTTTAACCAACAATTACGCAATTACCTGTCATTTATACATGCATTATATCTGCCAACTCCGTTTCATCAACGCTAAATATAACCTGCAGTAGAATACAGCACGTATTAATGTGGTGTAATAGCAATCATTGATTTTTTACAAAACTTTACTTGTACTATTCTAGGAGATCTTTTGTGGTTTCATGAATACGCGCCTCTCTGAATAAGTAGATTATGGCAGTAATTCCTTTATATCCGTTTTACAGTCATCAAGAGCAAGTAAATGTTGATCAGACACATGCGCAATAATAAAATAGCTGAGTCTAACTGTATTCTTTTGCAACTGCAGGGGTCCTGTATAAACATCAATCACTAGGATTTTTCATGCAATCTTGTCTACAATTTTGGTGAAATAGTCATTAACTTGGTAGGTCGTACCAATCCATGCAAATGTCCCTAGGTCGCCCCGGTGGTTTGTATGGTTATATTTAATTGTTTACAGATATACGTTTGATTGTTTTGATGTTGTATGATCGACCAGTGAAAGTGATTTTTGTTGATTAAAAACATGTGTTGTGAATGGTAAAAAACCAAAACCAAAATTATAGGTTAGGAAGGTGACAGAATATTTCATTTGTTTAGGTTGGCTAACCTTGCTCGTTTGAATAGAGGCAACAGGGCCCTCTTGCAGCCTGCATGCAATGGTCTTGTGGACTGTAAAACGGTTTTTAGAAGAAAAAAAAAGACAGACTACACTTTGAAAGTTCTTATTCATAAAGATGGCATTAACCTTCAAAGGAAAAACCACCTCTCAACCTCCCTCGTAATTACTCTCAAGATTCCATGATCTTAGAATTCAGGAAATCTCATAACTTGCGGCAATACTCTCAGGCTTGGATAAGTAGGTTTGGAGTTCTAAAAATAATTTTGATGCATGTTTCATAAAGAGGTATTTTTGGTCAATCAGAAGATTGGGATTTGACTGTTTAGGAGTCGGTGGAGTATCTAATCTACTATCTTTGAGAAGAATTGTATATCTGAAACCAACATTTTTCCAACGGCGGATCAATGTTAACAGCAATTCATTCACTTTGTCAGCAGCTGATCGAACTCTTGGATGCAGGCGAATGTCCTGTTGGAGTCTTTTGTGTCCTCAGAAAGGTATTGGGCTGTGTGAATAACGAAAAACTATTGCAAAAATTGTTGGCATACACTGTGAACTGTTCCCTATATTGTTCATGGTTGGAATCCTATTTGCTCAACAGAGGTACATGTAGTACATCATAAAAATTACCATTCTAAAAATGAGGCTGAAAATGTATACGATGGTGCATCGTTCACATTGGCTGACGATGCAACAATACTAGTACCGACTCATATGAACGTCATCTTGAATGAAAAGGGCAGCGGAGTTATTTATGAGGTAACTAGCTGGTTTTACAACAATCAGTTATACCTAAATCCATATAGTAAGGTTTCACAATCCCCAATAGAATGCAGAAATACCGAAAATAGTTTATAGTCTTGGAACTTCGGAGAAAGCGTTAGGTTTCAAAAGAAACAAAACGACAGCAGTCCTCGAGAATTGCATTAAAAACCTTTGGTTTCACCTGAAGCTACAGTGTGGTGTGCAATTTCCTCAGTCGGAATTATTGGTCCCTGGTTTTTTGGGGAAAATGTCGTGATTCCAACAAGTCGGCGCAACAACACAATTCAAGAGCATCGATGAGGAAGACTTCCAAGGCAAAAAATAAAAGATGTTATGGATCATACAATGGGTTTTATTAAGTTTTGAAAAAGGGAAGTTATGCTACTGCACCTTGTACTGGTTTTTATGTTTTGCGAGTGTATTCAGCTTTATTTTTGATGTGTAATGTGATATTTGACTTATTTTGTTATTTGTCCTTGTGTATATACAGTGTGTTTGGTACATGAACCAACAAAAGGTACCTATCAGGTTTATGACAACGGGCATTCATGGTAGGGTTTATGAAAACTTGTAACAATTAGTTTTAAATCACTTCTCAGTAAAATTGTTTATTTTGTGCAGCAAAATACTACAATTGTTGTAAACCTTTGACATTAATCCTTAATGCGTATTATGGTAGACATGAGATGTAGTTAATCCAGGTATTGGATGTCATTAGATTCGAATCACCTTGCATAGGAGGTATTCCTGACCTGATCTTTTTACTGCTCTGCGCTCGTTAACATTATTGCGCTCATCAAGTGGAGGTAGGCATTTCGAAGAGTTTGCAACTGATTTAAATTGAGTACAAACTGAAAAAATCGTACAAAAAGATCAATAGCCCGACCAAATGTTTTCTCATTTTTATTACATATGATTTCTATGACGTATACAATATCGTTGGAAAGGCAATAAATCACAGACGTAAAACTAGGTTTCTAAAAAAGGTATAGTTTTTTTACAATCGAATTTCGAATTTGAAATTATTTATACACTCCACGTGATTATACGACTTTGGAAGGTCATAAGTCATTTGTTTGAGAAGGTTTGCGCGGACTGTTTATCTGATCTGATTGAGTATGTACAGTTACAGAACAGACTCACGTTTATTTTGTGTCATTACGAAAAAATCATATCTCGGTAACTGTAGCATTTAGATCAGGAGTTCTCAACCACGGCGGCGCGCCTCCCGAGGGGGGCATAGGCAGATGTCACGGGGGGTGGAAAGTGTTTGCATTTCAGAAAGAAAAAACAAAAAAAAAATAAACAAACAACATTAACAAATAACATTGCAATGTAATGTTTAATTTACACGCATAATATCAGAAATTACATATCATACTCACTTATTCTGTCAACCGCTGTTTCAAAACCCGGCGTCGTCAATCGCAGTTTTTACAAGTTTCGACAAGTCACAACATGAGATCCGCGCGTACCCCCGCCGTGCTCCGCTTAACATCCATCACTTAGAAAACAATTGTGTACCTACCAGACGCGGATGAGCATCTGTGACATTCATTCTCACAGACTTGCGAAAAATTTGACGTTTGGATGTACATGTTTTGTTGAGAAATCTGTTTGAGTGTTTCAGATTATTGTGTCTCACTGTTAAAATGTGTGTTTGTGTATTTACAAACTTCAGTTACCATTTTTATTTAATTTACTAAATTGTTGATTGAGTGGAGACGCGTTCATAGATCGGCCATTGGAACTTTTTTTACCACATCACAATCTAACCAACGTGGCGAAATAATTTTGAAACCTAGTACATACCTAATATTGATGCCAAATGTATTTAAAATTAATATTATAACGTCAACCTGCCTACAAAAATATAAATCTCCCGGTGGCCAATATACTGTTGAATACATTACGTTATTCAAATAAAATGATGGGCATATAATTTTTAGTTACATGCAGGTATTTTGTTTATTTATTTATTACTTATTTGTTTTATTGTTATAGGCGCAAAATGGCAGCGAAAAAAAGAAAGTTTTCCGAAGATTACGTTAAGTTTGGATTTACCTTCACAGAAAAAGAGGAGATACAATTGCCTCAGTGTTTGATATGTAATGAAAGCTTTAAGTAATGATAGCATGAAGCTCAATCGCCTTGAAAGGCATTTGAAGCAACAACATCCTACTCTGCTTTTGAAGACGAAAGAGTTTTTTTTCTAAAACAGGATCACTCAAGCGGATGAGACTGGATAAATCGGGTAGTTATCACACAGGGGTGTCGCAGCATCTCAAAGCTTCATTTGAAATAGCTTTCATTATAGTAAAGCAAAAGAAACCTCATACTATCGGTGAAGAATTAATAAAACCATGTGTCTTAAAGCCACGCAGATAATTTTAGGAGAAGATGCAGAGCCAAAAATGAAGTCTACTTCTCTTTCGAATAACACAGTCAAGTCACAAATAATTAACGAAGTAAAATTATCTCCATTTTTTGCCATTAGTTGCGATGAATCCACCGACATCGTTAATTGGGCACCGTTAATAGTTTATGTTCGTTACATGGGCGGAGATATTATTCAAGAAGACATTTTGTACTCCCAATCTTTGACAGCAGGTACTACATCTGAAGATATAGGTATTTAATTTAATATCAAAATTTGTTGAAAAAAAAAATGATTTGGATTTGAAGAAACTCATTGGACTTTGCACAGATGGCGCACCTGCAATAATAGGTGTACGATCGAGCTTAGCTAAAAAGCTCAACGAGTCCCGCAATGGTTAGTACACATTGTGTTATTCATCGGCAAGCTTTGGCTTCCAAAATATTGCTACAGAGATTACGCCAGACTTTGGACTCGGCTATAAGAATTGTAAACTATATCAAGAGCAGAGCTTTGAACAGTCGGTTATTTACTTTACTTTGCGAGGATCTCGATTCTGATCACAAATGTTCTTCTGTTCCATACAAAAGTACGCTGGCAGTCTAAGGGTAGCATGTTGGCTCGCCTTTATGAATTGAAGGAAGAGGTAATTCTGTTTCTTGAGTTCAAAGAAAAACACGATTTCTTGAAAGTGTTCAAAGATGACACACTTCAATGGAGGTTGGCTCATTTAACTGACATATTTGACTCCTTGAATGAGCTAAACTTGAAACTTCAGGGCAGAAACAACACTATAATAAGCAATTATGATTATATTCAAAGCTTCAACGTTGGAATCACAAAGTGTTCTCTGAAAATTTTATATCTTTTTCTCGGCTGTTCGAAGCAATTAATAATAACATACTGGACGCAAATTTAAAAGCTGACATAAAAACTCACTTGCAAGTGCCGGAAGACGAATTCCGCCGATACTATCGAGACATCAATTCAGAGTCACAAATATGGCACATGACAAGAAGTCCATTTGTTGTCGATGTGTCACGATTACCAGAAGAAGTTCAGGAAGAATGGCTAGAAATGAAGGTTGATTCGTCCATGAAAGATGACTTTCATCTTTTGACATTGGAGATATTTTGGATCAAAAGGTTACCTGTTAATTCGACACTTGCCTCTCTTGCTTTACGAATACTAGTTCCTTTTTCTTCAACTTACTTATCTGAAGCAGGCTTTTCTGCTCTAGTTTTAATTAAAACTGAACAGCGAAATCGTCTTGATGTCGATAGTGACCTGATGAAAGTTCTGGCAAAAACAGATCCTAGAATCAACCAACTGGTACAGAACATGCAATCTCAAGTGTCTCATCAGTACCTACTCTTATTTTATTCAAGTTTTTCGATAAAAAATATTTATTGGTTTACTTAAACTTTTAAAGTTTCTTTATTAGAATTAAAGTAATAATAAAAAATTGTATAATGTGCGTTTTTTTTATTTATTGAAAAAGTAAAGGGGCGCATGAAAATATAATTTATTGTCCGGGGAGCTTCAAAAAAAAAATAAAGGTTGGGAAACCCTGCCTTAGAGCATAGCGGCTTACATACAAAATCATCAAATAGCGTCCCAATCGTCCAAAGAATTTTGTTGGTTCATGTACCAAAAAACCTTGTATAATACTTGCCCTTAATGTGTTGCTATATTTTATTTAAACAGATTCCTGTACCTAAAATGAGGAATCTTATAGAAATGTTGTTTGTCTGATGGATAATATATTGTATTGTGGTATAGCATATCCATGGAAAAATGTGAAATAGGCACAGTAGTGCTCAGTCTTTCACACTGTTGTGATATATCAAGCGATTTATCAACTTGGGAACCGATATGTTGAATGCTTCGCTAAATAGCCTATAAGTAGATTGACTATTCCTAGTACAATAGCGGCAAACGTACTAGTATAATTCTCTATTAGCTCACTGCAACCAGTATCTTTAAATAAAACAGACTGTGAGTCGTTCTCCTTTTTCATAGAGAATTACGGTGTGCGTGCGAAGCCAAGAATGCAATTGGCACGATCAAGTCGGAATAGCTGCTGCAGCTCTACAGAAAAACTATCCCAATTATTTCGATGCTCGTTATTAACACTTATCTATTTTAAACTTGTCGTTCAAGTATTTTTATCTGGAAGTCGAGAGGCGTCTGGTTAGTGTCCTTTCTACAGCTCGAACGCCTGTTGCTTTGGAGCCTTATCGGTATTTGGTGTGCTTTCATAGGAGCTGCAGACGCTTACGAATATTTTCGAATTTTGTAACAGATATTTGGCTGATTTGGATCAATATACTGATTTAATAAACACATTTGTAGTGTGGCGGAGATTACATGTTTTCTTATTCACGGAGGCCTAACATGATGGTGTCCATAGCAAAGAGCTCATTTATGTCGCAGTACCTCTAATTTTTCATACGCTGTATACATGTGGTTTAAAACTAACATTTCTGGAACGCATAAACCATCAGCTGTAAATAAGGAGCACTATTTAATTTTAATAGAATAAGTCGTCTTTGACAAAAACAGTCCTGCTTCAATACCATTCATATTGACTATCTGACCCCTTAAGATTTTGACTTGATTAACGTTTCAAAATTTATATACTGGAGTATTCTGGGTTGCTAGTTACAAATTTGTTATCAAAATTACTATATTTTTAATTTGGCCAAATCAGTACATTGGATTCAGCATCACGATTTATAAAACTATAGCGATTAAGATTTCTCATTTGTCTCATTATAACAAACTGAAGAACACTTTTTTTGGATAAAGGATTAAGGTTTACGATAAAGCTTTTTTGAATCACCATTATTTATACAGGGTACTAAAACCGATAGCAATATTGCGTTAGGTCTACTCCGTCTAAGGATGCATTTAGGAATCTGACTAGGGCGGGGGGCAGGGATTGGGACAGCGGCGGGGCAGGTAGTAGCTGTATGCCTAAGCACAAGTTTGAGACATTGATTACTTATTCTGGAATACCCTGTATAGAAAGATGTTTAGTTGAAGTTAAGACAAAAGAGAGTGCTTCTGACCCAGACTTTTACACCGATTGTTCTTAGAGGAAGGCCTTTAGAAATATCAGAGAAATTGTACGACGATGATGGTAGGAACAGGTTACACAGAGAAATCCATATACCTCTGATGACGTAATGTGTACGACATAGAAGCGCGAGAAGCGTGCAATACGACGTCAGAGACATTTGGATTTCTCTGTATATTGGATGAAAGGCAACGATCACTGGAAGATACTATACCGTTTAGCCAGTGCCTCTTTTTTTATAACGAAGCTGCCGCGCAAGCAGAAGCCTTAACGCCGAGACACCGCGGCTGCTATGATGATCCAAAAGAAAATTTGTTAATCCGATTTTTGAACTGCCTAAGGTTAGTAGAACTGGGAAAAGCTTCCTCTTGTAGATTGTTCCACAATCTCGACGCCATCGGCACAAGGGAGCAGTCGTATCGGCCAGTCCTGGATGTACGAAGTTCAACACGATTAGCATGGGACGCCAAGGTCAGGCGGGTCTGTCTGGCAGGCACATCGCGCGACGGCATCAAGGAACAGAGCTCTGAGGAGCATAGCCCGTTGGTGTAGCGGTAGAAGAGAGCTAGATCGCCGCTAGATTGCCGTCGGCCCGACGGTGCGAAAGGGTCCCGAGGCTGTCTGTTAGAGAAGAGTCATCGATCAGTCGGACCGCCCTCATCTGGACAGCATCGAGCATAAATAATATAGTCGGGGCGGCAGCACCCCAAACGTGTGAGCAATACCCGAGGCTAGGCCTTATCTGGGGGAGTGAGAAGGTCATGCGGAGAAAAGTACTTCTTAGCCCTAAACAAATAGCCTAGTTTTTTACCAGCAGCTGCCGCTATTGACGAGATTGTTCGTGCCAGATCAGGTCCTCAATGATCTTGCACGAACCGGATGAGCACTAGGACGTTTTTTGTTCGTCACGGTACAGTACTGTGTTTTGGAAGCATTAAACTGTACAAGATTGGTGCGTCCTCACGTAGTGATAACCTCCAGGTCTCTCGTCAGAGATGAAGTCGTCGCTAGTCTTCTTTTTTCCAGCTCAGCGGCAGAGTTAGGCTTGTCGCTCGAAATTCCTGCATGTAGAGTGCTGTCATCAGCGAAGATGTGGATTGGGTTGATCGTGCAGGAAAGGAGGTCGTCGATATGTAAGACGAACAGTGTCGGAGCCAGGACCGGTCCCTGGGGAACACCCGCGTTCATGTTGTGGGATGAAGAGGAGAACTCGTCAATTACGACAGATATCTTGCGGCCAGAGATAAGGTCAGCCATAGGATGGAAGTTTGCTTGAGAGGGTAGCGTATCACAGCTGATCGAACACATTCGTGATGTCAAGAGCAACGACATGAGCCTCACCATAAGAATGAATGAGTTTACTCCACAATTGCGTGACGTAAGCTAGAAGTTCTCCTGATCGCTGGTGCCGGAAACCATACTGAATGTCGCAAGCTGTGACGTTCGAGGTAGTCCAGAAGATCGCGATTTGTGCACCTCTCCACTTACAACAGAAAGCAGAGTTATAGGCCTGTAGCTGTAAGGTATTAGATCCTTTTCTTTGGTATCGGTTGGACATGAGCAAATTTCCAGTTTTATAGGAAGGTGCCGGATTCATGACATCTGGAAGAGACGTGAAAGAACTGGAACAAGCTTCGCTGCACACCTCTTCAGTACAATGGCAGGACCAGAAGCCGTGTTGATGTCGAGCGGCAAGAGCACTCGTCTTACGGTCTTATGCCTGAATGTTACCTCCCGCATAGTGTAGGGAACTCTTCGAATTGACGGTACTTGCGCGGTGGGGGGGATGTCCATGACAGAAAAGATCTTGGCAAGCACGTAAGTTCTTTTCAATCTGCTTAGCCAGCGTCCAGAAAGCCCGACTGCCATTGCGCTGCGACATTACTCTGTGCCTAACTTTTATATCGTGCTGGTTTCTGACATTGCGAACCGTTCTCTACAGTGGTGTTTTGAAATAAGGTTTTGTGTGCATTGATCTTCTGCTGGCGAGCAGTGTCACACGATTTGTTAAACCAGCCGCTGGACCCTGGTTTAGGCACTTTCACTGTATGACGTATGTATTCCTCCATTCCGACGTGGATAATTGCGGTTATCGAAGAACAGACAGCCCCCGCCAACAGACAGCCGACGCATCCGCGTCAGCGAAACAGACATCTCCCCAAGGAAAGGTAGAGAAGAAATCTATGAGCCCCTCCCAGTCGGAATGTTCGTAATGCCAAATTTTGCGGCCTTGGCAGGCTTCTGCTGCCACAGCGGATTCTGACCGAAACCTAACCTCCACAGCACCTTGAGCTGAGTTACCCAGGGGGGATAGGACAGCAGTGCTGTAAGGGACAGGATGCATGGTCAGAAAGAGGTCCAGCACGGTACTAGCATGTGTCGAGACGCGGGGGAAAAAAGTAGGGCTTGTCACCAGCTGGGTCACCCCTTGATTAATAGCGAACGCTTCAACTGCACGAGCTGCTGCATCGGTCTTGTTTGAGCCCAGCTCATTATGGGCATTGAAATCATTGAGGAGAACTAACTCTGAAGTGGGGTGATTGATGTTCAGGAAGTCGAACTTGACGGCGAGGTATTCAAGTAGGTCATCCCAGTTATGGTCCGAGGGAGAGCGATAAAGGCAGCAAATAAATTTGGAGGATGTTTTGGAGTTGAGGCGAAGCCACATAATGTCCTTCCGGTCTGATTCTAAAGAAACATCTCTGGAGCAGGAAAGACTGCTGCCACAACTCCCCCGTTCTTTCT